TCCTGATTCGTCTCTAGTCCTTCAGCCCAAACAGGAAGAGTTTTTATATGACTCATGAACTCATTTTTTCTAGACAGATGATGTTCTGTAAAATGTTCTGCATCTAAATAACAGACACGGGTTTCTGTCTTCGGATCAACAGAAGGAGAAAAGGTTTCTGTGACGATGTGGAGGGAACTTTTCATTTAAATACTAAAACTTTGTCTTTGGTGAAACGTTTCTGAGATGGGACGTTATGGCTTGTGTGAATTTTGTTGATCACCTGAGTGCTGACAGGGATTTTATTTCAAAATAAGATCCCTTAATTATTTCATCTAAGATTAACAAGTCGGTCGTCTGTCTACATTCAGAGAACTAAAGCATTGGGAGGAGAATCAATAGGATCCTTTTAGCCTGATGATGACATGTTATCCTGGAACATAAATAAACATTTAAACCATAACTGCTAATGAACTGGTAGTGCTACTTGTTTACATACGAGACAACATGTTACAAACACACAAACAATAAGAAAGTGACGATGTATGTACAGAACATTAATGTTATATAATATAATTAATAATAAAATATAATAATGTAAAGAAGTAAATTTCCATGACCAAGTTCCTGATCATGTTCCAGAGGTCAAAGGTCAGCTCTGTCTGTATCTTCAGACATGTTGGATGCATGTCTGCATATCTATTAGAAAATATTGGTTGTTTGTAAAATAATAATTCAGTGATCCAGGTTGTGATTAGAAAGTTTTATAATGTTTTGTAGGAGTGACAAATTACAACAAACGCTGCAACACACTCTTCAGCCGGAGACGGTGCACAGAGGCGCCAGGCGGATGGATACACTGTTGTTGTGAAGAGAAATAGTTTCAGTGTGTGACTCCGCCCCCAGAAAAACAATAAACTGTCATTTTTACATTCAGACGTCATCAAGTAAAAACTGTTGAAGTCATAAAGTTCAACAGTGTGAAGACGTGTTCACATTCTGCTGGGTGTCATCCTGATAATGTTTCAGAGGAGGAAGAGACCAACAGTCCACATGAAACACACACACACACACACACACACACTCACACACACACTCATGCACACACTCATGCACAAACAAAGCTCTCATTCATAAAGAGAAAACTTCTTCCTCTTCTTTGACTCGTTGGGAAAGCAGCTCACCTGGAACAAGGACCTGTCACACACACATCAACACACACACACACACACACACACACACACACACACACTAAGTGTAGCAGAGTCTTTATCAGTTTCAGACAGGTATGTCCTGACAGAGAGACGACACACATAGTTGGCAGACAGACAGACCACAGCACTACAGCTGTGTGTTAGTAGAATATTAAAATACACATATGAACACACACACACACACACACACACGAACACACAGACACACACACACGCACACACACACGAACACACACACACGCACAAACAAACACACACACACGCACGAACACACACGCACAAACACACACGCACGCATGAACACACGCACACGAACACACACGCACACACACACACACTTACCTGCACTACCTTAAAAAAGCCTCCATGGCCTCGTCAGTGCTGCTTCATGTGTGTTTTCTTGTCTGTGTCTGACTGATCAGTAACCGCGATCACTTCAGGAGGACGTCATGACGGATGTTTTACATGGTCCTCACTTCCTGTTTCCTAACAGCAGCCGGTTTGTTTCTATTAACCAAACCGTGTCCTTTTATTTCCCTAAACCAAAATCAAACAGCAGAAACCGTTTCCAAAGAGGCTGAAGATGAATTCGTCCTGTTGAAGTCAGGAGCAGCAAACAGGAGGGTGATGACGACAGCTGTGGAGAAACCCAAGGGAACGAGTATAAACGTGGTTTGGTTGGACTTCCTGATAGTGGTAAGTACAGCAATTTTGTTTTTGGCGCTGTAAACATTTCACTCAAAGTTTTTAATCAATTCTTCCAACAAAAATCATATTGTGTGTAAAAACAGCTTCGGTTTTTAGCCACTTCCTGTCTACTTTAATTTGAAAGTTTGGTCTTCTGCTACTCCAATATAATATAATATAATATAATATAATATAATTGTTTTGGAATAAACAACATTGTTTATGACACACACTGATAACTGTGCTGCGTTCAGGGCTTCAGGAGATATCCAGACCTGGCGAACACCAACGTTAACCACGATAAAAGGCGAGCGAGCTATGTGTACTCTATTTTGGGTTTATTTGCTATTGCTGAAGCTATAGCTAATGTTAGCATTAACAGCTGTTTACTCACCGACAGTAACCCTCTTTGCCTCTATTTCTATTACTTATTTTCTTCTACTTTCTTCTACTGATGTTAGCGTGCTAACTAGCTAGCCCCGGCACGGTCGGACTGTGTCGTCACGATACCGAGTCACTGCAGCGCCCAGTCTGTCCTGAGGAAGCAGCTGCTCAGAGGACGAGGAGCTTCAGGTGTGATCTGTGTTTCATACAGGTGAGGGTTTAGTTTCAGGAACCTAAAATGACTGTTTTCCTGTTTTCATCTCAAAGTGTGTGATGCAATAAACAAACAAACAAACAGCTGTTATCGCTGTAAACAGTCTGCTGTTGTCGCTTTCTCTCGTTCTTTCCATCTTCTCTCCTTCATTTCACTCTCTTCCTCCATCTCTTTCTCGTTCCCCTCCTCCTGTGACAGTCGTCTCTTGACCTTTGGCGTCTCACAGTTAGGGTGTGTTTGTTTCGTTGGCCAGCGCTGCCGTGTTTGTTTCACAACAGCGTCGTCTCTTTCTTTTTTTTTTCAGTCTGACGCCTCCGACGCTTCGACACGCGGTCATGAAATCTGAGAAATTAATCAGAGCTATTGTTCTTCGACTCGGGAATGTACCGCAGTGTGTGTGTGTGTGTGTGTGTGTGTGTGTGTGTGTGTGTGTGTGTGTGTGAGTATCAGTTTTCTCTCTGTTTGCTTTTGTTTATACTGTGTTTTTCCGATCTCTCAGAACAACAAAACAAGCATTCTTTGTGTGTGTGTGTGTGTGTGTGTGTGTGTGTGTGTGTATTTTCATACTTTGTTGCCCTAAGTACAGTACTTGTGTTTCTTCTAGTAAACAAAGGCAAAACAAGCGCTCCCCTCAGGACTCAGACTGTTTGCTGTTTTTTTTTCTGGTGATTTTTATCCTGAAAGCACACTAAGCCCCCCCCCCCCCCTTTTTTTTTTTTGGTGATTTTTTTCCCGAAAACCCCCTAAGCCCCCCCCCCCCCCCACTTTGATTTTTAATGGATAAAATTTTATTGATCTCTGATTGGGAAGCGGCCAGAGTCAATCCCAGCATGCATTAGGGAAAGTGAAACACCTTCAGCTGTAATATCAACATTAAAGATTTATTCAGACTTATAGATTGATATAATAAAAGACTTATTTCCATCATCATCAAATCAAACTAGTGACTCGAGCTCAACTGAATGAAATTGTATTTAGCTCCATTAGAAACCAGCAATCATGTTAGTGTGTCCAACACCAACATATTGGAGGCCATGATGCCATTACTTAATTAAATCCATTTCCTTATCATATTTAAACTCCATAATATTTCAGATTAAAGCTCCAGATTTAAACTTCTCTTGTGTTTTATTTTGAAATGATGATCCATCAGAAGATATAAAAACCATCTCAGTGTAGTTTCACATCTCCTCTCTCAGGCTTCTCTCTGGAGCTCTAGTAACAACAGGTCAGTGAGCCAATCAGAAGAGGTCTTTAAGGTGGAATAAAACATTCTTAACTCCACAGTCCTCCTCCGACATTAGGACCCAAGTTCTGCTCAAACAAGCCGACACTCTCCGTCAGCGGTTTCATCTTTTATTCAAATCACAAACAACATCTGCTTCTGCTTTTCTGTGAAGCATTGACAAAAATTCCAGTGAAGAAGAAGAAGAAGAAGAGGCAGGACGCCGACCTCCTTGCTCTCCGGTTACATGAACGTCGCTGAAACTCAACCTCGGCCGTGTATTTACATATTTCACCTCACTAAGTACGTGTGTGTGTTGTTCTTTCTCTGGCCACAACAAAACAAGCGCTCCCTTCACTTCTTTGTCTATTGACATACTTCCTCCCTCCAAATTACCTGTGTGTGTGTGTGTGTGTGTGTGTGTGTGTGTGTGTGTGTGTGTGTGTGTGTGTGTGTGTGTGTGTGTGTCCTCTTCTCCCTCCACATCTCAACCCTGCCGGTCTCCGCCGTGCGTGTACCTGTCAGCCCCGGCCGGCTTGTTTACATACTTTGCGGCTCTAAGTACATGTGTATGTTTTCACAGTGTTTCCTTTCTTTGGGTACAACAAAACAAGCGCTCCTCTCTTGAACATGACAGCTCGCTCTAAAGCTAATGTCGCCCTCAGGGGCCGAAGAGAGGGAGGAGGATGAGGAGGAGATGATTCATAACGACCTGCCATCCTGTCAACACACACACACACACACACACACACACACACACACACACACACACACAC